ATAAACTCTGATGGCTTGTATAGTTTTCCGTGGACGCTGTACCTCATCTGCCTCACTGAATAAACCGTTTTCCTCCTTAAAAATCAAATTGCTAACTGCAACTGGACGTACATCTCTCTTTTGATTGGAACGTAGTTAATCTTGGGTTGAGGGTCTCAGATTATTCGAAATTGTAAAACAATTGTTTCATTCGATTAAACTACCACATACCTGATACCAAATTCGTCCAGTGATCGCTGTGCAGGATGCTGCGATTGATACCTCATTAACTATTTAACGACGTAGCACGTTCTTGATTGGCTTGATGCAGTTCTGAGAAGATAGGTAGTTAATAAACAGATCACTTGTATTTTGAAGTAAGGATAAGTTACAATAATTTCTTAATATTTTTAACAATGATTCGAATAAAAATAGCTAACTGCTGTGTAAAAGTTATTAGTACTGGGAATGACTATGTACTCGCGGCGATGTGGTTGTGACAAATTCTACGGCGAGCAATAGTCTTACGAAGGGCGAATAATCAGTCAACCGCAGTGAATATCTTCCGTCTAATACTACGTGCTGTATTTGTACAGATTATAGCGATGACATCTGATGGCGCGATTTTATAAATAATATTGCTTATTATAGAAACACTACACGGTGTTTCGCTGTGAAATGTATTATTCGTTTATTACTCAACGGAAATCAAAAAAAAAAAAAGCTTGTTATGTTTGTTGTATCCTTTAACCTCCTTACTCCTGGGAATACAATTTTACTCGCACGTACACCATGACAATTCTATATTAACGCACTGAACTAATGTATTAAATGTGTTAACTGTATTTTGAGTTAACTACAATGTTCTAACCATAAACTCACATACGCTGTGCATTAGTATGTAGGTAACGTGTTGCTATTAGCGCTATTTTACATTTAAAGTGGATTAAATGCGATTCAGTCGAAACAGTAGTAATCTACGGTTTTCACCAAATTATGTATTATTTTGTTGTTTAAGAAGAACATTCTATTATTTTATACGGGAACATCGTATTTCATACGTCTTACGAAAGAATCCCTTGTCTAAGCAGGATGTCGATTAAAAGTGTGAAGTAGTAATCGCCCACTTTTTCTGGAAACAAGAAACTTTCTTACCGCGGAATTCTCTAGTCTGATTACCTATTAGGACTAAACTCACGCGTGGCTACAGCACAACACACACGACATAAGTACAGCACGACGAACTTACTCGAAACGAATACAAAAATAGAAAAAGAAATAAGAGAGAGTGCAATCGGGCAGCTCTAATCTAAAACTGTTTTCGAGTGATTTAAATATTTCAACGCACCGAGTGTAGGGACCATGGGAGATCCAACGGTCAACTTTTCGAAATCAAATAACAACCCCTACTTATTTTGCGACCGCGTGGCTGTCACGTGTAACCTATCCGGTACATAATATATGGTACTATTGTAATACATGGTTATACCAGCAACGATCATCGAACACCCGCGTCCTGCAACCTGCTCGCATACGTATGCGTAAATTATACAACGCACTGTAGGTACACCTACCTGATATCCTGCTCCTGTCGAGCTCCTTTGTCTCTCGCCTTTCCCTTTTGGACCGATGCACCGTCGAGAGGTGCGCGCGGGAAATATTTTCTACTCGAACATTTTCGCTCGCATCACATTAACGAGACGGCTGCTGAAGTGGCTGGTTGTCACGTACGCACCGCGTACAATGTGCGTACACGCATAAATATTTATTTATTATAAACGTGGGGCCGATGCGCTGTGTTGCGTGTATACCTAATATAATAATCCAGGCCCATACGTACAATGCGTTACTACGCATGGAAGTCCGAGGACAACGGAAGCGTCTACGAGCGACATGTGTCTTGTTTGAAGAGACGACGCCGATTAAAATGCAGGTTAGTATTAAGCTCTGTAAGACGGTTGCAGCGAGACTACAGCTGAGATCGACAGCATGTTGTACGGATCAGAATGCTGGAACGGATGCTGAAAAAGAATGGAGATGTGAATACGTTGTTGTGGACGTGTGGATATAGTTACTGAACTACAAAGTTATTTTAGTTGATTTCGAAGTGACCCTGTCAGTGTGAGAATAGCTCGGATAGGGAGTCTATAACCACCGCGGAAATAGAGGTATGAATAGAGACATCTGGATAGAAAACCCGTTAATGAAGTTATAATACAACAATGGGAACGATTTCAATACTAATGGATTTAAATTCGACAGTCAATGTGGTCGAGTTAGGGCAGCAGTGTGTTCTAGGCCCGTCCGCTGGCGGATTTTCTCTCGGGACGGGCGACCTTCCAATTCTAGTTTTTCCCTCGTCCCTCGGCTAATGGGTCACTACTAGTGGAGTCCAGTTGAAATCACGACAAGACGGTTACGTGCAGTCGAACGACGGGAACGAAATTATACAGCACACGTTTTGTAAAGTTGTATTTTTTTTACTATTACATAACCGGTAAAAAAAAGGGTAAAATGTGCTGTATTAACATTATATTCGAACGTGCGTGATTTTCACGAGTAAAGCGTAATTTGCTCTGTTCACCGACATAGTTGATATATTATTACTACAGCATTCATCGTTCGAATACGACTTGGACAAGTTGCAATGCTTCGGTGTATAAGTAGAGAAAGGCCAGCGAGTGCGAACGCCGATCGGTAATCGAAAGCAATGCGAGACGGGAGTGCTTATTGTGCAGGAGTAGAAGGGAAATGGAAATACATCGGGTTTCGGCCGATTTACTGTATTTTGTAACGTGAAAGAAAACTCGATTATACAGTTGCGGCGGTGGCACGTAATCGCGAGCTACAAACCGTTAATGTGTACGATGCTACAGTATTCTCGCCAGACCTACGGGCACTACAGGGCTATCCTTAACCACCGACATGCTGTTTCTCTGGGCGGTACGATTTCGCTCGTTTTCGTAAATCGAAAATTCATAATTGCGGTGCCCGCACACGCCGTGATCGAGTACGCGACATATGATCACCGAAACACCGTACAATGATACAACTTCCATATACCTCCTGATTTTTGGATTCGTTTTTTTAATGAAACGATGAAACTGTTTTTATAGAACTCATCGCTTGCGTTATCAATCTTCTTATAACGGCGGTGCTCGAGTGAACATATTGTTTTGTGTTTGTACATTATTGAGTAATGTGCATTTAATTTATGGAAAAATAAAATATTGGACCTTTTTACTTTATTTATATAAAAATTGTTTAGAAACAATTATTTTAATTAATTTTTTACAACTCTTGCCGAACGCTCGTTCGGCCGTTAACCTACCGATCATTTCATGCTCTGTGAAATCAGTCGAATCGCAAAAACCTTTATGGTTTTGATTTTTTTAATTATAATAGTCATATATAGTCGAGTAGGCGGATCACATGCATGTTATTCTTGTTACGTGTATTCAACCAGTTTTATATTATTGTCTTACGCATAATTCATTTTATACTAAATCAACATTTATTGGTTACATAAAATCATGTTTCGACGTCGGAACACTGGCATTGTTATTTTATATACGAAAAAAATCATGTCTATTTTAATTATTTTTACTTTATTTTTTTAAAAAATATTGTTTATTCACAATCTACTTCAATAATAGTCAGTAGACGCAACTTCTTATGTCCGTACTTCTTAATCTACGCAATTTTAGTGTGGTTCAGTCATCTTATATTTATCAAAGTATTGTACTTGTTATATTTTTACGGCAGTGGACGAATCCATGGCGAATACATTTTAAGTTTATAGTCTACGGAATTCGCTTCGTCGTCACCGCGTCTGGGGAAACGGAAGTACATTCTGTTCGGAGAAACGATTCTACCTGGTTTATACCTACTGTATAATATTCTCCTAATCCGTATTACTCATAAAATATAATACATCACTGTTGCTCACACACACACACACATACTTTACACTTATCGCGTGTCTAGGATTTGTAGGGTGCGCACGAGCAGGAACCGGAAGCGAACTCGACGATTTGCACGTACCCATCGGCTTAAAATCTTAACTTAAACTAACTCCAATTATCTGCATAATATCATATATCATCGTAATACACGTCCGGTTAGAAAACTAACAGTCTTTCTAGACGATTATCACAAAGCTGAGATAAAATTACTAAACGTATAGTGTACGAGTCCAATATAGGTTATGGTTCACTAACTGGCGGATTACGAAACTTTTTTACAGACTTTTTATAACTCTTTTGATAATACTGACTTCAGTTAGTTCGTTAATTTCATGAAGCAACTTAAATCTAAATTTGAAGATAATTATTTAATTAGATTGTAGCACAAATGTTGAACAAATGTTTTTCTTTACGTCTCAGTGGTGATCGGAGGAGTGAAGCTAAAAGCGTTTTCGACTCAAATTAAGTTGTTTTCAGATGGAAATATTTGGATTCCAGGAAAACTCGGGCTTAATGGGAAATGCATTCGTCCTGAATACTTGGCAGAGCAATTATTTCTGAATGAAATATGTATGTCGGAGTAAATACCCTGAAATTAAACATACGGTTAACAAAATTACGTACGATATTTGGTTCAATGTATATGCGTGTAACCGTTTTTTCGAAGATGAATTTTATGAAAAAAAATTTTAGATTAACTCACAATAGCTAGCTGTAAAAATTGTACTCCTAGTATTTTTGTATTTTTATAGAAGGTGACGCAGTTTTGATTTCTTACGAATAAGGGGGCGAAATAAATCAAAAACATTCGAGAAATACTGGTGTACAATTTCCTCTTGTATTTAAACTCTAGATGTGAATTTACATATTTGTTTAAATTTATATACGTATATATATATATATATATATATGATACGAATAAAAAAATGTGCGTTTATAAACATTGTTTACGTATACGTAATAATGAAACAAAACTTGAACAAATACTGTGATTTACTTTATACGTTTCTAAAAGCAATATGATTAACAACGGTGTTTTTTGTCTTTCCTTTATAGAAATGTGTCAGCCGTCAAGCGAGAAACGAACGGCAGCGACGGCAATTCGATCACCACCGAGGACTAACCGATAACCTGGGTTAATGGTCAATCATCGCGACAAACGGCACGAAGACCGTACCGGAAAGTAGTTGAAAAAGCAAAACGGAAAGAAATCAACGAAAATAAGAAAAATATAACAGTTGATTTTGTAGTAAACGTCAGTAGCGAAAACAACGACGACATGGAAACCGTGACCGTGGCCGAAGAAGAGATGACTACTCAGAAATACACGAACGTAACAGAACAGTACATGGCCGAAGAAATAAACTCGTTCTATTTCTACGAAGTAAGTCTATGCATATTTATGTGTTCGTTAGATATAAAAAAAAATATTATTGATATGTATTATACCTGCGTGATATTTATGGAAATAGTCGATTAGTACTTCTTTCCTAAATTGAAATGGTCGAAGGGCGCTTATGTCAAAATAGGTGATGTTTACATTTTTATTATAAACTACATAATATGCAGTGATGTTGTATTTTTAATGACTTATCATCTGAATTGGAATGTATAAGAAAATTATTTTTGCGTTTTCGACAAAATAATATTTATTACAAAACGATCGTAAATGAAGGTTTTCATATTAAATTATTATTCTTTTTCCCGTGTTTTATTGTCTTGTATAGAAATTCAATATAAGAATTTTTTCGGTAATTTTTCTTGGACCTAGTACAGTTCGACCAAACCCATATTTATAATAGACAAAGCTTAAAGTGGCAAAAATATGCAAAGATGACTATGAACCCGTATTTTTAAAAATACGGGTTTTTGTACGTTCCATGTCATCTGGTCAATAAAAAACGATTTACGTTATTAAAATCAAGATGTACGTAAATACATAGATCTTAAATTTCTATGTATATAATAAAAAACAAAAGTAAAATAATATCAATGAGGCTTATGCATTGCACACAGTATTGTTATACATAGAGACAATCGGTTTAAAGCGTTTATATGCACACCTCGTTTTTACACATTCTTGAGACGTTATCATTTTAATCTTATAATATTTTAAAGTTAATTCAAATTACAGAATAAAAGTTTCTATCTTATTCGTTCCCTTGAGGTTTAAGCACCCACAAAATTTGAAAGTTGTTAAACGACTATACACGCAATAGGGTGTCATTGAAATTCGATGACATATTAGACATGTTTTTTTTTAACATTATCCGAATTTATACTGTTCTTGTGATTTGTTCGATGAACAACACAAATGTAACAGCGTTATAATTTAAAAAATACATTAAAAATAAACACTTTTAAAGAGTGTATAGTAATAACGTGTTAAACTCAAAATGTATGCTATAATAATTAGAATGTTATTTATGTTATTTCAAACGTACCCGTTATTTTTTCTATCATTTAATTCCATTATATTTTTTAAAAAAAACAATAAATAACTAATATATAACTAGTTTACGTTGTAACATATAACAATATTACTTTGCTTTCCCAAAATGTTTTGGTATTATCATACATATTAATTTTGTTTTACATTTTATTTTGTATAGTTCGCTAATTGCCAACAAAGTATGTGTACTTGAATAATTAAAATTTCTTCCACAGTCAGTTATTTGTTGATTCAAAAAACGTTTATTCAAAGCACTAAAGATTTCGTTTCTGTTTTAATAACGTTATTAAAACAACAACTCAGATACAACATTAAATTTCATTTGTGGTATAAACATTTTTCATGAATCACTAAACACAGGCACTCGCAGACGGCATGAATTTCTTCTGATATTTTGATAATTCTGCAATCTTGCATAATAAAAATAATGTGTATTATCTCGAAAATGTTAAAATTGAAAAGATATAAGAAAAGGACTCAAAGTGTTAAAAAATCAAAATAAATTTAAAGATAAGATTGTAAATCTGATACTTTCCCTGTGTGTAGTTGTTTTTATTTGTGTAACTTTGAAATCTGATGAGCTCGCTTGTTAATAAATACCGATTACTTGTAAATAATGCATTGATTTTACACATTAATTATGTTTAATAGCAATTAATAGATAAAACACAGTTTCACTAATAAAAAACAGTTACATAATAGTTACATAGTATGATAGTTGATAGTAAATAAACACATCAATATTTTAATAGCTAATTATAATATTATTGACAATATATTTACAGTTTATTATTACATTTATTATAAATTCTTAAAACCTAAAATTAAAAAAAAGCTATAAAATATTGAAACAGTCACAAAAATGAAAGAAAAAATTACTGTCAACATTTTCGACGGAAACCAACTCTGAACTACCAATTATTAATCTAAAATAATGAGACTAAATAAATAAAATGTTTAAACATTCATTAGATTTTGCCACATATTGGACAATAATACGTCATATACAAAAAGCTGAGCATAATTTAAAATTGTTTTATATTTTAAAAATCAGTTTGAAAATGATTTTAACTGTTGATTTTGAAAATCATATTCCAAAGGAGTTTTCGTCTGAATTATTAAACAGCCTTGTAATGATTTTAATTTTTGAGTAATCAGTTATTAATTATTTATGTACAAAAAATGGATAATGGTACCAGCAACCGTTTACCTGAGGGTTTATTATGTCTATGCATTGAAATAAAAGTACAACAGTCTATTTTATAGCTATTTTAATTTTAATTGTTACATTATAAACATTAAAATCCCCTTAAAAAAATATAGCACTATAATTAAGTTAAAGAAATATAAATATGAATAGTAAAAAAATTATTGATTAAAATAAAATTACTAAAAAATAATTATAACAATATTTTATTTGATTTAAAATTTTTTTTTAATGCAAAGTCAAGACAATTTCTTAAGGTCATGATTTCCGACTTTTGAATTTGAAAATCGATTTCCTATTCATTTTGTCCAACACTGTATACCTATACTGTGCGCGACAATTGTTGAAGCAGGATGTAGACACGATTGAATAGCAGCGACGTGATTTTCAAAACTCTCGCGCATCGGGTATTCAACATTATGATATATAAGCCTTTTCGATTCGAATTACACACACGGACGCGATTTATTTTTAATTAGATAATTAATTATTATTATTTCCGTGATACAGGTACGTGATAAAAGTTTAAAGCGTTGGCACGCGTGCGCTTGCATGCGCATAACATATTTAGTATTATATTAGTAAATATAATGAAGCATTTCTAAACTTTAAGAAGGCTCTGAATATCAAAATCGGTCGAATGACGTATGAAATTGAAATAGGCATTTTCTCCTCCTCTGCTGAGGACCCCAACGCGAGCCAACCTCGAGATATTATCGTAATATTTATCCCTTCGATATCGTATACTGCAAAATGCGTATGCGATGTATTGTGGTAACTCCTATTTCTGATACGACGACCACTACTAAATTTAAATCATTGACCGAACCCGAAATAATACTTCTAATTTCACTTTATTTTCGGCATATCGCACAGTATCGATGGAACACCTGCCACAGAAAATTTAATTTGGTCTTATCACAAATCACATTGTGTACTGTAAATATTATTTTGGGCAAACCGAAAACTCGTCTATAGAAGTACATTTCTCTTGCTTTTTGCAATTCCATTTTGGTCGATCATAATTGTTCTGCTTATTATCAAAAATATCCATTTACGGTTTGACAAAACATCCGAAAAGGAAAAAATAAAAAAATTAAAATGCATAACACGGTTTCCTAAGAATCTAAAAAAATTAAAAATTCTGAAACAATCACCCCTAGTTTGTTTTAGGATAGTTGAAAAGATGTTATAAAAAAACCCAGGATTTACGCTCGGTGTAAAAAATAGCCATTTAAAAAAAAAATCAAACCGTGTACATATGCTCTTAACGATATAGCGCAGTGTACAATCAGAGGTTGGATATTTAATTTCGGTACTTTCGATATTTTTCGAAAATATTTAAGAGTATCCGATCGGAGAAAAACTCTGCAGAACACTTTGCCCAGCAATAACTGTACGTTAAAAAACTTACATCGACACGTCCTTGCATGTAATGCACTAAAATCTAATGTTGTACGTACCCATACGATAAAATATCATTATTATTATTTTTTAATCCCGAAGAAATCGTTTATAACCATTAATATTTACTGTAATCTACAAACTATAATATTCTTTATCTTCTCTCCTCTGCAGTCAACATATTTTACGCGATTGTATGTGTGAGTTAACATATTAACGTCTAAAAAAATACACTATATTATTAAAACCGATAGTATTGATTTCAACCGGACTCGAATCACATAGCGCAGTGCAGTGGTCGTCCAATGAGAATAATATTAAAAAATAAATCCGAACGAACCACAATAATGTTCCAAGATGGCTGCTGCGGCAATTATTGTGTTCGTTTTCGTGTACGTGCTTCGAGTAATAAATCCATTTACATATGGACATGAAATTATTCAATAAAAACAATAAAGAAACGTGAAAATGAAAATTTAAAATATACACTATTCATTGTCGCCCTGTTTGTCAGAGTCTTGTCGTTGCCAACGGCCCCAGAACCGGCGCAACCCATTTGCGCCCGAACCCATTTATCGTAGCCCATTTGCGCCCCAAATCATAGCCCATATGCGCCCGATTTAGATCAGGTGAAAATCGTGCAACGTTGCCATTTATTGAGTATATTGGCGTGTAACTATAAAATCTAAAATAATATTTGATCGTTTCCCAATCTAATCGAAACCAATATCAAAATCGATAAAGATAATAATATTTTGTCGTTAGTCGTGCTAATCGAAATTGTAAAATCCCAATCGATAAAGATTATATTATATAAAAATGCATTTATCAGTTGTATTTTATATGTGTCAGTTGCATCAGTACATGAATAGTGAGTACTACTATAATGGAATTTTATATAACTAATTCAAGTAAACAAAAACTTTGTTTAGTTTTTCGTTATTTTAAATATCACGTGAGTAGAACCCTTGTTTCTGGAGATATAAGTTGGCGTTGTGTAAAAAAAACCTGTAGTGCGTATGTCAAAACCAATAGTTCAAAAACGAAGTTAACCGAAATTAAAGACAGCCATACCCATGATCCGGAAACTGAAGAAAATTTAAACTTACTGGACGTTCAAGGTAGGTGTAAAAGAAAAGCGTGTGAAGATTTAACTTTACGACCTAATAAAATAATACGTACAGAGCTTTCCACGTGCAGCACCGCTAAGAATTCTGATGTTCATAATATCAGAAAGTCTATATACCGAGAACGTCGAAAAATATTACCCTCAGTTCCTAAATCACTCAACGAAGCAATTGAACAGATTTCTAATTTAGTA